GCACACACATCCCACACCAGAACAAGCCGCGTGCACATGTTCTTCAAAGTGCCACTGCCCGTGATGCTATTTTATCAAGTCAGACGTGAGAAAACAATTTGTTTGTTCAGCAGGGAAGGACTGAACAGTGGAGGGGGGGGCGGGGAAGGGCAGTTCCCCTTGCCCGCTACAAAAACATCTTCTCGTTCCATATCCGCTTGCCATAACGTTTAGCATAAATGCTCATTCTCTTCTGGTGAGGTAACTTTTAAGACAACTGTAACTGGGTTTACTGTGGTTCCACTGAATCCTGACTGGTTTACCGTCCTCCTGGCTCATGATTGCCCGCATACCAGACAGGGGTACAGCCTATGGGTTGCATACCCTCACCCTTGCGGTTAGTCAATTGTGTAATAATTACTGTTTTTGGTTTTGCGACTGTGCCCCTAAGCAGACTGGGTAAATATGCTGTGCTTAGTCAGCCAGCAGCATGTTTCCAAAAGACTGCCGACTATCCAATCACCATCCAAGAATCTTAAGGAATGGAGATAAACTGGCCATTCTGCAATCAGACTCGACTCTGGACTTGCTCACAACATGCACGCTTGAGAACCGATGGGAAACCAAACTCTTCCAAATCAGAAACAACAATGAACTTGTATTCAACTCAGTCTGAATCAACTGTACAACTTGCGGCTATGGCCGCCAAACACTGTCTCTACCACCAGCCTCACTCTCCCACACTCTCGCATGAATGCACGTACGAGGATCACGCTGAATGTCCACGCTGCACAAACACACACACGCTGTACACTCTGTCTACACCAACAGCTGGGCGGCTATGGCCGCCGTCGTCTTCCTCCTCCTAGCTATGGCCGCCGGTGTCTTCCTCACTGGCCAGCTATGGCCGCTGTCTTCCTCACAGCCCACTTCGTCTCCGGGCACCTGCAGTCCTCCACGCACAAGATACCAAGGCAGTACTTCCGCATGGCTCACAGGCGAATGAATGAATGGCTGGACGCTGCCTCTTTATTTATACTTCTTGAGAGGTACCCGGGCCCTGCCTCAAAACGTGTGGGCCTGGGCCAAAACGTGTGACCCAGGGAAGCTTCCAGACGTTTGGCCTTCTGGCCAAAACGTGTGGAACCCACAACGTGGTCCAGAACCTTTCCCACGTGCAGCCCCTACCCCTGGTACTTGCTGACTGGACTGGACTACAGGGACCTACGACCTTCTAGAGGCTACAGACTTACAGACAGACTCTAGGCCTCAGTAGACTCAGATGGAGACTTCCAGAACAGACCTTCCTAAGCCTAACGGTAACAGACCTAACTCCTAATCTACAGACCTGGGGATCGAGTCTCACACAGATTGCTGGGCCTATGTACAGGGTACAGGGTAGGTGTAGGGATCGAATCTCACTCAGCACACGGGCTATGTACAAGGTACAGGGTAGGCCTAGGGATCGAATCTCACTCAGCACACAGGGTAAATGTACAGGGTTTGGGCACAGGTCTAGGGATCGAATCTCTGTGTCTGCAAATGTCGGGTCTACTGGGTGAAAGCATTTCAATTCCCTCCGTTTGCTGGGTAGTGTACTGTTGCCGAATCAATAGACTGGAGAATTTTGATGACTCGGGGTGTGCTCCTCGGCAGTCAGGGACCAATACTCCAAAGCCTTGTTGTGTGTGCCATTGGATATGACAGTGAATGTGTGTGTGTGTGTGCTTTTGTCACACACACGCACACACGCACACACACACACACACACACACACACACATACACACACACACACACACACACACAGAGACAGAGAGAGAGAGAGAGAGAGAGAGAGAGAGAGAGAGAGAGAGAGAGAGAGAGAGAGAGAGAGAGGCTCTGATGGTGAACAGCTTTGCGAAAATTGAGTACCTTGGGTTTTGTGACCTGCTGCCAGAGAGGCTGGGATAGCTTTGGGGTGTAGTGTATATTACTAGGAGGGTGGCTGTTCATTCACACCCATGCGATACTCGGAGGGTTGCTGGTCGTTCATGCTCATTCGATGGGGGATCGACTTGGGCTCTACTAAGTCTGGTCGGGGGACAAACCTGTCTAGAGTGGGCCCATAATAGCGTCCTGTTATAGGGCTGCAATCAGTGGGAACTGGCTCCAGTCTCCTGTTCATAACCGCTAAGCGCTGGAGGGACACGACTTGCAATATTGGCGGTCCAGGAGGCTAAGTGGGGCATTCCATCTCCAAATGACCTTGTTCCGGGGGTTCTTCCAAAGCCTGAATATGACCCCCACAACAACCCGGGTGTTAAAAAAAAGAGAAAAATGATAAAATCCCCTGCTGCCAAAGAAATCTTCTGATGAATCGGCGACGATGAAGGAAGAGAGGAGAAAGCTTCTAACTAACTGCAAACAGCGCTGGATGGAAATAAATTAGAAATTTCTCACAAGTTACAATGCAATTGCACCTATGTGTCGGTAACAACAATATTTGATATCTTAGGGCCCACTCACATTACGGGTAGAATTTGATGGATGGTTGGGACAGTCGCAGGAGGCAGGGAAAGTGGCAAAAAAGCAGCAAACGGGGTATTAAATGTCAGCGGCCTGGCGGGCTACGGGGATGGGCATTTTGCGAGAGGCGGTTAACGGAGGCCTCAATTTTCAGACAACTTCTCATGCCATTTATAACAAAAATTAAAGGGGGTCATTTTAACCAAACTTGCCACCAATTCATAGAGTGGAGATCATACTAACTAGTAACTACACACACAAGGCAAAAGTGCACTTCCATGAAATTTTGCCAACATTCCAATTTCAGAAATCTTGAGAAATTTCAAAAATCTCATCAGAGGAAATTCCAATGCCCCAAATGATACCAAATTTGGCACACAGCAACCTTAAAGGCTTAAACCAAAACAAAAGCAGGCCAAAAAAAAAAAAAAAAAAAACATAAAATTTCAAATTTGAAATTTGGCCCCAAAACCCTATTTTCAGTTTTGGACCTGTCAGTCAGGAGCTGAAAGTGGGGGTCCCCGTTAACCACTTGTGGAGAGAGACATTTTGCTACCACCTCTGGAGGTGGTAGCAATTTTTTTTTTACTTCAGTTCGGGAGTTCGTGAAAGAAAATTCGAAGCGAAGTTTGTTGAAAAAAAAAAAAAAAGCCGAAGGATTTGGGTCTCGCACTGTGTGACCACGCGAGCCATCATTTTGCCAATTGCCAGAACGTCCAGCTCGTGTCTTTTGTGATTTGCGGCCGCTGCTATGTGACCGGGCCGGGTGGCATTTCAGCAAAATCGGGATCGGGATCGCTAGCGATCCCGATTTTCCTGCTATGTCACCTCTGTGTGAGTATGCCCTTATTGCCCTCTCTTCTTGACAAGAGAAGCAAAAAGAGAGAGGGAAGTAAAAGGAAACAGAGAGAGTGCAGCTCAGCGTGATTGGGCAATAACATGTCCTATTGCAGACGGAATACGTTTTGTCTCAGTGCGCACACTGTTCCGAATGCTAGCCCATGTACAAAATTTGACGCGTCGTCTTGCGTCTTCTTTGCTCGACTTGTGCAGCCAGGAGTCTATGGAGAATCCTCCAGTTGTTTTGTTCAAAGGGGGGGAGTATGTGCATGTTCCAGGCACTTATCCAACCAATGATGAGATGGATGATGACGAGGAGGAAATTGTGCACAAAGGAAGACCCGGTGGACTAAGCGATTGGGCGGTTACTGTGGGCTTTCTGATTGCAATGGTGAGTGGGTAGTGAGCGAATGCTCCGGCGAGGAACTACCGTCTTTTCGCCTGAAACGCACAGGTGCTATATTTAAATTTTAAACTTGCCATGAAAAAAGTTAAAAAAACTTCAAAAAGTCCGTTTTTTAAACTTTTTTAACTTCTTTTTTCTGTTCCCCCCCCCCCCCCCCCCCCCCCNCATAATGCCCCTTCAAACATAACGTCCAGGCGGTATATTCGAATGTGGCATGGTCAGAATATTTTGTAGGGAGAAAAAGGGGGGTACACATGGGGTTTAAAGGGCTTTTGACTTCAAAGGGGTTGCTTTGTAGGGGGGGAAAGGGTGGTACACATGGGGTTTAAAGGGCTTTGGACTTCAAAGGGGTTGCTTTGTAGGGGGATAAAGAGGGGTACACATGGGGTTTAAACTTTAAAGGGCTTTTGACTTCAAAGGGGTGTGTTTGGTTTAGACAACAAATATTTTTTGACAGAGTTTTTTATTCTTTTTTTTTGAGAGAGGGGGGAGGGAGGGGGGGGGGGGGGTTCACCAAAGTTGCTGCCAATGTACTGAATATAATGGGCTGGACATTCTTTTCGGATGAAGACTGTAGTCACTGAATTTTGCAGGTAGTTGCGGCTTTGCGAAACAGCGAGTTTCTCAACCTATCTTAGCAATTAGTGTGTGAAACATCCCCTGTCAGTATCCTGAGGAGGAAGCTGTGTTAAACAACCAGTGCGATTCCCAGCCATTTTTCCACGACGCGGCTGCAGGTGCGCCTCATCTAGTGGGAGGTACCAGCTTGCCGCGAGAATCGAAGATGTAACATCCCGGGTTCTTCCCAGGATCAGGGCTACCGGACCTCCGAATGGCTGGCAGTGCCAGCCATTCGCAAAACAAAGCACCGTGCTGGCACTTCACCAGAGCTTGGCGTGGTGTTCTTTTCTGCCTTGCCAAAGAGAGTCTCGGAGGTGGTGACAAATCGAAAAACAAAGAACCGTGCTCGGCGTGCTGGCAATTCACCAGAGCTTGGCGCGGTGTTCTTTTCTGCCTTGCCAAAGAGAGGCTCGGAGGTGGTGGTGGTGGTTTAAACCACCAGTACACGGCCTCAGCCTTGCTGAAAATGCAACTTGTAGCCTACGAAGATTTCGGAGGCTCGGCCTACCGGGCCACGATGGCTGGCTGCGCCAGTCCAAAAAGGAACGAAAGTGTGCCGCTGGGGGTTCGGAAAAGCTTGGTGCACGGTAAGGGTCCTCCAGGCCCGGATGTAAAGACTCGGTGGTTTAAAGAACACACATGATGGTATGCAAGATTAGGCAGTTTGTATGGGTTCCAGGTCTTCATGTTCAGCTGTTAGACTCGGTTGCTGAGCCCGAGAAGGAACACATGACGGTGGTATACGGGATTCTAGGTCTTCATGTTCAGTTGTCGGACTTGGTCGCCGAGCCTGAGAGGAATCGTATGGGGGAGGCAAGCTGGCAGGCAATCCTCTATGAGAATGGAGTAATCCATGCTGTCCAGGGATCCTTTGGCCGATGGAAGGTTGCGCTCATGAGTGCATCTGATGTAATTTTACGACTTGCCAGTGGAAAAGGAACTGGACTGACGTTCCCCTGAATGGAATGGAGCCAGGTCCATAAGGTTGCAGTAAATCACAGTTTCCCAGTGGGGCTGTACACTAAGTGTTTGGCTTTGAAGCTTGTTTTCTTGTTTTGAGCCTTGCGGGACTTGATCCCGGGACCTGTAATTTGTATATGTTTTGTTTGTTAGTTTCGAGTCCTATGGGACTTGATCCCTGAGTCTGTCACTAGCAGTCTCTTTTTGGTAGCCTTAGGCCATTCAGCCTTTTCCTTTTGCCTTGTCATAGGTCTAGGTCCCCTTTTCCCTCTGTTTCCGTCTAGATGCAGATGGGTATTAGGTTGTTGCCTTTTGGAGTCCGTCGTAGGTCTAGGCAGACGGTAGAAGTAGCGGGCAGGAAATTAGTTTCGGGTCTTTCACGTTTTCGTTGGCTGGGGAAACTCTGCTGGCAGCCATGTCTGCTGTTCCTCCTCTCGAGGAACTTTGTCTTCTTCGAAGTGCTGGATCGGTTGTCTCCTTCTTCATCAGGACTTCCAGTGCTGCACTTCCGTGCGGGTGCTGAGCTGGCGCTGTAATCATTCGGGTTGCTGGTTCAGATTGGCACGTTGTGACAGCTGTGGGGTTACTGCTGCTGCGGCAGCCATAGCCAGGGGTATGAGGTGGCAAGGAGGAAGAAGAAGACTCCTGCATACTTCGTTGAACACTTGTTTCTGGTTGTTCGGGGTTGTTGTGAATGCGGTTGTGATTCTTGGAACAAGTACTCTGGATTGATTGGAGGAGGACGAGGGATTGCAGAATTGAAATTCGTTTTTCAATTCTCTGTGTGTTTTGAGCTTCCGCTGTGCATATTCTCTCTCCGGTTTTGTGAGGATTTGCCTCCTCCGAGTCGACTCTGTAATTGCATGCGTGTATGGGAACGTGTGAATTCGTTGTGGATGGAAGTTCAATGGGGTACATAACAGGGTCCTGTTTTTTGGAGGGAGGGTGGGGGGGTGGGGGGGTGGGGGAGAGGAAGAGGACCGAACGATTTGAACGTGGCATCTTCACTTAACCTTCCTACTGATTGAAAGGTTGCTGAGATCCAAGCATCGAGGATTATTGAAAGGATTTCATGCGTATCAGCACTCTGTCCCAAGCCCGGGTCCCAAAGTACCAAAGTCCCGTGTACCATTCAAATAACCTCGTTGCCAAGATCCACAAAGTGAGGATTTCTTTTGAAGGGGGGGCTAACCGAGAACCTCATTGAAAGGATTCATGCATATCGGCACTCTGTCCTGAGTCCCGGTCCAGATTACCAATCCGGCAGGAAGGATAGTCAAGTCTAGGCCGTTGGTCGGATACGTCTGGTAGGGCCAGTTCGTCCATCCGTTCAGTCAGCCAGACCAGACCAGTAACAGCTCAGTCCAAGGAAAGTGGGTAAATTCTCCAGATGCGCCGAAGGCCAGCTGTGGCCAGCACGCGAGTTACCGGTTGTGTTACGGACTTCGCCAGGGCTCGATCCCTGGTCTATCTTTTGCTGTTT